ATCGACTTCAGTAGAGCGTTCGATAAAGTGTCTCACTTAAAATGACCAGAAAAGCTCCCCCCATTCCCGTTTGCTGCTGCTCTGTAAGCTTACGCAGTAGAAGGTAGAAAGTAAGGGTCAATGGAACACTTTCAAAGCGGGAACCTTTCGATGAATTTATTTCCTCCGGAAGAAATCCCCCCCCCCACCGCAAGTGCTCAGCAATTGGGTGCTGCTGCCTACCAGTGATGCAGAAGTTTAGATTGTCATACTTGGCGATGCCGATTGGTATGCTGTCGAAGAAGATTTGGAATGAACTGGTTTGTTGGTAACAGGAAATTAACTCTGACAAAAATATAATAATGCTCATTCGTTAAAGCAGTTGTTTTCAGTATTCCGCCGATGGCATACCACTACTCTAGACCATCAAACTCAAAGACGCAGGTATCACCGTAAGCCATAATTTGAAAAAAGTTTGAGCACTGTTATTCGACTGCAATGGGGGCCCCTATGTTATGATGCGCTTGCAGAGGTCTCAAAATTTTGACCAGGATATGTTTAGGATACTCTATTCTACAGGCGTTAAAACCCGCTTAGAACATTGCATTCAGGCTGCCGGTCCGCTCCTTAAAACGAATGCCGATGCACTCCAGTGAGTTCAGAAGAGAGGTATTAAGCTCATGGCAAGCCTTTTGGGATCCATATAGTGGGGAATGGTTAGACTGAATAAGCTCATTCCTGCTGTCTTGTAGTGGTAAAACGGGGTGTTCTAACACTGGCAATCCACATCCTTGGTAATTAATTCGGCATTGACATCTTTCTTCTCTCTTACAAGGGTTGGTTTTCTCCGTGGTCATCACACGAAAATCCGAAAACCACGATTGAATCAACTTAGCGTGGATCTACATTTCTCCCTTCGTGTTGTCAACGCCTGAAACTGCTTACCACAGCAAGCAGTATCAGCTCTTTTGGTCAACATGTTCAGGGTGAAAAAATAGATCTCCAAAGAGATACTAACAGCAAGGACCAACACACAACAACTGTCCTATAATCCTTATTATTGTAAATCTTAACTAAAACTATTTCGAAACACACTTTCAATGGACACTATAAATATCTTTCCTTTCTGGTTGCTTCCAACGAAAGTCAGAGTTTAGCACAGCCAAGAAAGGTGAAGGACTGAAGTAGTGGTATCAGAATCCGCAATTTATAGAAGGGTATATGGACGTGGGGTTCAAGCTTCATCCTTCAATTTAGAGGCAATACTACGGTGTCTATCGCCGAAAGACAGTTGTCAATCATATCGTAACAGCGAGCCCAATTCAGTTAATCAACTGGAGGCGAGAATTGCTAATCACAATATTGCAAATCTCTTCTCAGCTGGGAAGTGCTGCTTGCTGGTGATTCGTAGCCATCTGGACCGTCCATCTGCTGGAGTTTTTAGCTCCCTTTAGGGATCCTTCATCGATAAACATCTTTCTTGATGCGTACATATGCATCTGGAGTATTAGGTTAATGTTGATGATAAAGTGAGGGAAACTCAGTACCAAGTTCCTGTTGGTAGGCTACCAACTTTACGCTTTATTTTCCTTCTCATTATTATTATTTGTATATCAAACCACTTACTTATGGTGGTGCAAAAAAATAGGTCGTAAGCCCTAAGTTGTATAACTAGGTCTGCGGGAGGACGGAATCTAGTCTGTGCAGAAGAGGTGGGAGCAGCAATACCCCACCGTCTAGGATCCTTGCGGCACCATCGCACCAGACACAGCACTCATCAGAACCGGCAAACTCATGTAGTTGGGGTGACAGCAAAATGTCCCCCAAAAGTACCATTGGTGAAAAATAAAGCACAGGGGAAACGCACATGTCGACTGACGAATATATCGATACACGCTACGCTTGACTCCCTCACAGAAGACAAGTCAACCAGTCGTCAACAGAGAGCGAACCTCTGCCGACTGTGGTATTTGTAAAGAGTCGGTGTCTGAGGCTCATGAAGCCTTTGCATGCAGCGTCTACCCAAAATGGGTACACTGTTACCGTGATAATGGTATATGGGGTCCGTTCTAAAGCTCTATGAGGAAGCATTTTTGAAAATGGAATTTATATATGTCCAGAGTGCCGGAAATCGCTTGTTATCACCACCGGCACACCGGGAAACTTGGTGCAGCCAAACGTGTTACGAAGCATGAGCTCCCATAATCTGCCCTCAGAAACCGGGTCAAGCTCCACAAGTGTGTAAAGTGTCACCCCCAGAGGTAGAAATAAACTAGCTCCCACTCCAAGTGAGGGGAGAACAAGGTGTTCGCCTTTATCGATGCTTTACAGACGATCCAGCGGAACTGAACAATCTGAAGAAATAGATTGTGTTGAAAACACATAGACGGGAGTAAACAGGGTAAACGGCAAACCGAGAGACCTGATTGTTAAGCCTACTACTCCATACACACAGGACAAGAGAACGGATCCATCATTCTGTTCAACGTCCTTACGCCAACAGACACCCTTAAAAAAGGGAACAGCCTGACAGGGAGAAGTGGGACGACTACCGCAGGAAGTTAGGAATAGAAACCATCCCAGCCAACCTATGCCGACTCTCCCGAAGAGTTAGAGGGCCTTGAAGCAAGCCGCCACCTCTCAGGGTATCAGCAGTGACAGCAAAATGGTCTGAGAACATACTGCTGCTGTCGCTCTGACCAGACATTGCAGGCCCTTACCCAGAAAGGGTGAAACCAGATAAACCTTGGGTCGCCGGAGAGGCTGAGAGAAAGTCCCCACTTAGTGATCTGCACAAAGCTGCAACCATAGTGGTGCATGAAATACTCGAACCGGCAGGCGGATCCACAAAGTGTGATAATTACCTCGATGATGTCGAGCACTGGAGGTGGCTTGCGGCAAAAATGGGACTCGGAAATTTGCCTGCCAGCAGAGTAGGTAGGTCAACTCCCCAAAGAATAGAAACGCGCCATCTTTTCATCAGTCTTCAAGGGAAGAAACCGAGAAGACCCGGGCAACGACAGACCAACAGCACTACTCCCTATACCTCCCAAAGTACTGGAATGCCTGGTTGGAGCTGTTGTTTGGGCCTACCTAAACAGAAACAACATCGTTCATCCCATCTGGCATGGCTTCAGAGCCGGACTTCCACATGCCACAAACTTGGTGGCCCCTTGGGATAACTGGACCACTAGATGGGACGACAAGCAACTGGTCCACGCTATCTTCTCGGAGTTGGCCAAAGCTCTCGATAAGTTCCCACACTGCACCAGGCTCGCCAAACTTGCAAAACTGGGCATCACTAAACCAGCCTTAGCATGGTTTACAGCAAGTCGAGAGGACAGAGAATTATGCACTAAAGTAAACGGAGTTCGATTAACCTGGAGGAATGCAAGCACAGGAGTTTCTCAAGGAGCGATCCTTGGGCTGCTCCTATTCTTACTACTCATAAATGACCTCCCCATTAAAATCTCATTTATCCTCCTATTCGCCGACGACATGAAAATATGGAGGGCAATAGGTGAGGAAGAGGATACTAGGGTACTCCAAAACGACCTGTTACGACTGGAGTCCCGGTCAACTGAAAACGGTTTGGGCTTTAACCGGGCGAAATGCAAGGTGATGTATCTTCGCACACCAGAGGCAATGAAAATCAGCTACACTTTTAACAAGCGTGCAGTTACCAAGGCATCCACAGAGAAGGGCCTGGGACTAAACTTCTCTGACACAGAACGGCAGCGAAGGTGAACGCCATCATGCACTTTCTAAGGGGGCGGGCTGGGTTGTTAACCCCAGATTTATTCCTTGTGGTATTTAAAACATATGCTAGACGACACCTAGAGGTGTTCAGCATAATAGCTCCCCCACCCCGCACTACTAAAGAGAGACGCGAATACCCTCGAGAAGGTACAGAGAAGAGCAACAAAGTCTGTTGTCGGAATAACTGGCAAAACATGCACAACACCTCATGCAACTCGGCCTGTTCACACTAAGCTGTCGAAGGAAATGAGGTGACCTGATAACAGTCTACAAGATCATTCACCAAGTGGACCACCGAAATAGGTGAACGTTGTCGGTTCAAAACCGATAGTCCTGTGGGAATCCCACTCGCATGCCCCACCATAGAGCAAAGACGAGGGTGAAATCTAACTTCTCCCACAAAGTGTGTGCTTTATGGGACGCTCTGCCGACGGCAGTAGCCACAGCCACATCGGTCGATTCCTTCAAACGACTGCTGGATGAGTACGCGAGCGCAAATGGCTTACCACGAGCATTTGTCAGTTGCAGCTGATGGTATGCTTTTCCATCCCTGTATTCCCCAGCCTTTGTGCCCACAGAAGAAGGCATCTCTTCTCCATATTATTACCAGCAACACTTACCTTTCTGTAAGTACTTTTCCCTCCTCTTTTTCTAATTTCCACTCACCGTAGCACTTTTTCAGTAACGCTCAATGCTTACTTGCGGGTGCAGACGGTTAGTTGATCTTATCAAGAGCTCCGCAGCTCCGCCCCCCCGCAAAAAAAAACAACAAAAGCAAACCAAGTTACAACTTGCAAATAAAATACCTTCTTTATTCTCTCTTCATTCCTTTACCACTACCTTACTATTCTCTTCCAGGTACCTACACAGACAGGAGTCATGGCAGTTCTCTAAACTTCCCAGCAACCCGTAGCTCCCTAATCACTCTACAAATTACAACCTACTAACCCACAAAACATCCACCTCACCGAAGCTAAAAGCAAGAAAGCAGAGGGTATTTCCTCGTCCACTGCAGGAATAAACCGAACAGCTGGAACCAAGCCCTAAGAACTAGACGCGAGAGATCAAAAACTACCAGTTTTCTACGCTCGCACTATCAATATTGGATATTGGAAATAGACAATCGCTACCTCCAAGGCTATAAGCAGGAAAACGCAGAGACTTTAGCGACCATCGAAGGAGTACAATCGGACAAAATGAATCAAGCCCCAAGACCTAGAAGCTAGAGCTCAAAACTACTTGTACTATTGTTATTGGATGTTGGATGTTGGAAGGTTAAGCGGGAATTTTCGGTGACAATTATTGAGTGACGTAATGTTTGCTATATTTACTGTGTTGAGGTTCATAACTCCTTGAACAAACATTTTTCTACCTTTTGTACAGTCTATTGACAGTTTCAAAGGATGTCTGCGTAGTTTGTCACAGAAATGTCAGCTTCTCAACTAAGGCGATGGGTTGTGAGCTTTGCTCTCAGTGGACTCACTGCTCCTGTGATTCCAGCAAGCCATCTGGTCATTATAAAGCACTGGTTAATAGCCCTTTTGATGGTGATTGGTATTTTTGTCCATGTTATGGGTCCAGAAGTAAGTACCAAATAAGCCTAGAGCTAGTGAGACAGAACTCCGACCACCTTACGGCTGACATCTCTACACAAACCAGCCTCAATCTAAAGAAGTCTCATGACCATAAAAAGATCCCTCAAGTTAGCATTAAGGGAAGTAGGGAATTCATCACTTTCACGGACTGTCTCCCCGTTAGCATGCCTTTGAAACCAATCCCCTCAGTGATGAGTGGGAATCTCACACCTGATAAGCGCCGAAAGAAAGGTCTGAAGAAATGTAGGCAGGTCAGTTCAGTTGGAAACGGAACATTAAGTAACGATCGTAAGTCTGACAGAGTAACGACTACTCAGCCTAATGAGAAGCCGAACCATAAACTGAACATTGCCCCTCATACTCAGGCGAAAAACGTTCCGAAAAAGCAGATCTTGCTCCCACCACCTGTAACTCAGGGCGGAAGCCACCTGCATTTCACCACCAGCCTCTTTCAATCATCAAGAAAACTCCCGCAGCTGGCACCTCAGGTCTTCCGAGTCACTCGCAAAAGGCTCATCAGAAATCTGAGTCTGTATTCACAGGTTGGAATACGCTCCAAAAGACAGACCATAGCCTCATTCTTAGATCACCATACTCTTCAACGTTCAGGAAAGTGGCTCCTCCCTATTGAATGATCGTGAAGAACATGACCCTGACCAATGGAAGAGTGTTTGCAAACTCATAGGAACCTCTCCCTGCAGTCCATCTCTTCAACGCCTAGCGCGCAGTAAGTTCTCCCCCAAAGGCTCTCCTAGACCTTAAAGAGTATCTCTTGATAGTACACGTCAGTCCGAACACATCCTTCTGAAAGGTCATCAGTTGGTGAAACGTAAACTGTCTGACGTCAGGATTAGGCCTGATAGAGCCTGGTCAGTGCGAGAACTTCGCAACAGCAAGAAGATTCACTCTCAAGAGTTATGCTGCTGGGTAATTATACACGGGATTCCCGAATGTTTGGGTACCGATACTGCCGAACTTATCCACGACATAAATCAGTGGAGATATATTGTCAGCAAACTCCAAATCGATGTGAGGGCCGAAAGAATTAATCGTCTTCCAAGGCCGGCTCACCTCGACTATACGTACTCCCAGGCTACTCCAAGTAACCCTTGACTCTCCGGACATGGTTGGAACTACCTTGGAATCCTGGTATAATGTATCTGATACATTCCCTAGAGAAATAAAGATAAGCGAGTGCAGACCCAGGGAACAAAGGCAGACTGAGAGGCGATTCAAGCGCTTACCGTTGGCCAACGCACACCTAACGGTAGAACGGCTGGACGATGAGCAAGACTATCGACCTTGTCCCATATCGAAGAACCCGGCACCAGTTCTCAGTCAAAGAGACCAGTGAAAACAGCAGCCCTCGGTTCCACTGCCCTACCAAAAAACTTGTCAAAGCCGGCCATTTAAAGGTTGGCAACTCATGCTTAACTCAACCGGTTGCTGGGACCTCCGGCCTCATACTCTTATTCGCTGTACCTTCAGCAATTTACGAGGCCTACGCTCCAAGGTACCTGAGTTAAGGTTATTAGTGGATGAGGAAAGTGGCAGCATAATGGCTTTCTGTGAAACATGGCTATCAGAAAATAAAAAAGACGAGGAAGTTCGTTTAGGACAGTTCAGCCTAATCCGAAAGGATAGACCGGAGGATCCAGGAGGTGGCGTTGCTCTTTACACCTGCCCTTCCTTAAAAGTCCATGAGATTCAATCTCATAGAATTGGCATTAAAGATGTCCTCTGGTGTAGCATTAAGTGCTGCGGAGGTCCGTGTTTAGTTGGAGTTTTATACCACCCTCCTGCAGCTGATGCCACGCTAAATAAAATGTTAATACAGTCCATTAGAGGAGCCCTGGAACTGAACTTCCCACAGATCCTCATTATGGGAGATTTTAACTTTCCTCAACTCTCTACCACAAAAGTCCATCTACTGCTCTAAAACACTTTCGGGAATTGTTACTGGAAAACTCCTTGACAGAACTTGTTTCCCAGTGTACTCGCTGGAGGCCTGACGGTAAGGCATCCCGACTAGATTATATTTTCACAAATCAGTTCATTGGGGTAAGCAACTTGAATGTTTTCAGCCCTCTTGGCCTAAGTGACCATGCAGTAATCTCCTTCAGTATTTCTGTATCTAAGCCACCCGTTCCCGACCAGCCTCTAGTTAGGAATTACAAAAGAACTGATTTCGAGAAGGTTCGGCAAGATCTAGAAGGTTCCGCTTGCTTAAATTGCGATGACCTACTGGATCTTGATGCTAGATGGGGTCTGTTGAAGAATATAATCCTACAGAAGACAGAAAACAACACTCCTCTGATCCTAAGAAGAACTAACAAGTTCTACTCCTCCTGGCTTAAGTCTAGCACGCGCAAACTAATACGGCGTAAACGGTCGTCTTGGAATCTATGGAGGTGCACTAACAGCCCTTTTGACTAACTAAATTATAAAGACATCCGTAACAAATGTTCAGTAAGGATCAGAAATGACAATAAACCACCAGACACAACTTTGTAGAACCCTGGAGGGGAATCATGCGATACTGTACTCGTTGATGAAACGGAAGAGTAACAGTTCACTAAGTTTACAGGACCCCATTAGTTTGGAGATTCTCTATTCCAACTCCGAAGTTGCAAACCTACTTGCTCATGAGTTCCAAAACAACTGTCATTTGGGAGACAAAACCTCGCATCTGTCGGACACCCGTATCACAGAGGGACTAAATCATATAGAGTTTAAACCCTCTGTAATTATGGAAATATTAAAGAAACTGAACCCGAATAAGTCTCCAGGATTCGATGGTATTCACTCAAGAGCACTCAAGGAGTGTGCTGAAGTTGTGTGCCCCACTAGCAAACCTCTTCAAATGCTCGTTTCTGGAAGGCAGGTTACCCTCTGCTTGGGAACGGGTGACTCGTCCCAATTTATAAAGGTGGAAACAAACTACTCGCCTCCAACTACAGACCAATCTCCCTGATCTCTTCAGTTGCGAGGGTCATAGAGAGAGTCATAAATGATCCTAAGTTCTATAATTCTCCGACGCCTGAGTGGAGCTCGGGAACAGCAAGCCCGAGAAAACCAGGCAGGCTTTAGACCTGGCCGTGGATGTATCGACCAAATATTCACACTGCGCCAGGTCCTGGAACATAGGCATGCTTACAGACGCCCGACAATAGCTGTATTTCTCGACCTGAAGGCGGCATTTGACTCCGTTGATCGAGAAGTCTTATGGCAGTGTCTGTCACTGAAAGGCGTGCCTAGTAAGTACATCACCTTATTGAAAGCTCTCTACTCGAACACTTGTGGGCATGTTAGAGCCTATGGTGAGTTGTCCAGGGAGCTATACTCATCAAGTGGTGTCCGTCAAGGATGCCCACTATCCCCATTCTTATTTAATTTTATCATAGATATTCTTATGGAGGTTTCCCTCTCGTCACCTAATTACAAAGACGTTGACCGGATCACAGGTGAATTTTCCTTAGATCTAGAATATGCAGATGACATAGTCCTGTTAGGTGAAGACGCTGACAAGATGCAGAGTCTTCTGAACACTTTGAGTGGGAATTTGAGAATGTTTGGGATGCGATTTTCACCACCCAAATGCAAATTTTTGCTCCAGGACTGGTCTTCAGCGGTACCGCGGTTAACAATAGAGAGTGAAGTGGTTGAGTGTGTTGACCACTTCACTTACCTGGGAAGTAGGATCAACTCCGGTGGGTTAGTTGCCGATGAGATTTCTGCACGGATACAAAAGGCTCGATTGGCTTTTGCCAATTTGCGCCACCTATGGCGCCGCCGTGATATTCGTTTGTCTATTAAGGGTCGCGTGTACTGCACAGCAGTCCGCTCTGTTCTACTGTATGGCTGTGAAACATGGCCATTGAAAGTGGAAGACATGAGAAGGTTACAGGTATTTGACCACCGTTGCCTTCGTAGTATAGGACGTATTCCGTGGTGTCACCATGTGAGTAATGCAGAAGTTAGGTGTAGAGTTTTAGGGAGAAGAGGTAAGTCAGTCGACGAGGTTGTGAACCTTCATCGACTGAGATGGTTGGGACACGTACTACGTATGCCTAGTCACCGATTGCCTCGTCACACAATGTTGGCTGAGGTGGGTTCAGGCTGGAAAAAGGCCCGAGGTGGCCAGACTAAAACATGGCACCAATGTATGAAGTCTCTGACTGTTGGTTTAAGCCATGTAGGACGATGCAGACTAGGTGGTTGGGGTCCACGGGACAAGAGGAACCAGTGGTTGGAGACCCTAGGTGATATGGCTCAGAACCGAAGTCAGTGGCGCAGATGTATACACACATTATCCTCATCTTAACAACGCTATACCGAATCTCACTATTTTGTCACTCCTCTTTCCTTTCTTCTCATACTTTATATTTCTTTTGACTGCATTCACTTATCTTCATCCTTCACCTCACTACCTTTTTACTTGATGTGCTGATATGAGGTGTGGCAACTCGGACCGTTACGCAGTAATGCCTGGTCCTATGTTGATAATGATGATGATGATGATGATCATAAATGACTCACTACGTGATCACTTCAGAAATCGATCCTAAACGACTGTCAGCATGGCTTTCTACCAGGAAGGTCATGTAACACCAACTTGTTGATAGCTTGGAATAGCTGGAAACTCTCGGTCGAGAAGAAAAAGCCTATACACATTGGTTTACTTGACTTTTCTAAGGCCTTTGACAGGGTAAATCATGATATCCTTTGTAAGAAACTCCAGCTCATAGTTGTACACGGAAAATTATTAATCTGGCTTAGAGATTATCTGTACACCAGGGTGCAGTCAGTTAGAGTTGGCCCCTCTCCATCTAATTAGTTCCCGATGCTGAGTGGTGTGCTTCAAGGTTCTATACTGGGCCCACTACTGTTTTTGCTTTTATCAATGACCTACCAGGGTTCCTTATTCACATTCACTACCATATGAAGATGATCTGAAGATTTGGAGGGAAATATAGGAGCCAATGGATATTTCGGTCTTCCAGGAGGACCTTACGAAAATCCTTAATTGAACTACAGAAAACCTGCTTCCTTTCAACTCAGAGTGTCGAATTACGACAGTTGACAGACATAAAGGCAGTCCCAGTTCTTACTCTCTAGGTGAAATAAATATCTGTCACACTAACATGGAACAAGATCTGGGAGTTACACTAAACGATACACTGGGAGCTTCAGTTTATTGTCGCCTCGCAGCCAATGGGGTTTATGGAATCCTGGAGTTTCTCTTGCGAACTTTAGGGTGTCTAACTGCTTCTCTTTTCATCACAGTGTATGCTCTATACATTCACCCTCATCTAGAAAAAAACTCGCTTGTGATATCCTCATACTTGAAAAAGGACATAGCCATCCTAGAACGGGTACAGAGAAGAGCTACAAAGGTGATCGGGCTACGGCACAAACCGTACCCAGACCGCTTAGTTGCTCTTCAGCTGCACCCAGTACAACACCGGAGGATCAGAGGGGGATATGATCATGATGTACCACATCGCTCACAATCCCCTCCATCCTAACAGATCCCTTCTAAGCTTTAGTCGGAAACGTGACTTGAGGGGTCACCCATTAAGAATAGAGCATGAGAGAGCACGTACAAAGATCCGTGCTAACTCATTTGCAGTTAGAGTCTGTAAACTGTGGAATTTCCTCCCTTCAACAGTTTTTACAGCCCCATCCCCTGATACCTTTAAAAGGAGGCTAGATGAACACCTCGAGTCCTACGGTACCAATGGGCTATACTTGAGAAGCTTTCCCCAGACCAGATGCAGTAATGCTAACTTGAGACCAGATTAATTAATTAATCGTATCTCTATCCTTTCAGGTTTTTCAAACCAGGAAGATAATTGTGACCATTTCAAACTCAGAACGTATTCCAATAAGACAGATGTAGAACCCGAGGAACCGCAGTTCACTCATTCTACAACACGAAGTTTGCAGTTTGAAGATGGAAATCTGTCGTGACACCAGTGGGATTGATGGCGAGAGTATTCTATGCGTATGTCATGTCACTATCTACATCTTATTCCTCCTAGAGTCCGTGTGAAAAGCAAGCGGGAAAACTCCCTATCCTCAGACTGATTCTACTACCACAAAAGCATAGTACGGGAAACTTACAGTTTGCTGCCTCTTCCAAACAAAGATTTAGGTTAAGACTAAGTGGTTTCACTACCCTTGGGATGCTCGTCAAGCGACAGACCAAGTAATCAACTTCCAGTTGGGTTATTTGACGATCATTAATTTGTGAGAAAGTATTTCTTACGCCGTTTGGTAATAATAGACTAAGTGGACAAAGGCATGAGGAGAAGCCCTATGTTAGATTATGTCATGGTACTAGGTTGCATACCCAGTGCATAAACACAACTTTGGTTCTAACTGGGCCTCCTAGCTTGGTGGCCACATTGCAAAATGATCGATAGAACTCGATCAACACTGAGGACTAGACAGTATGAGATTCGTTACTCTCCAGTGACTAACCAATGTTTCCCGAACTTACGTGGTAATCTGGGTCAACATATGTAACTGATTTCTCAACTGTTGGATGAATTCCCAAGACTTTGAACCTAAAAGAAGTGCACATTATTGTCTATGTGGTGAGAAAAACAAGTCTTCATTACGCTTTTGCCCACCAGAAATAGCGAAGTGTCCCTCTCACTTACAAACGGTCGTTTCAAGGATGGTGAAGTTTTATGTGTCTACCGGATTCGATTCGAAAGTAGGATTTGAGCGAAAGGCTGCTTTTTCTTGTACATTTTAATCAAGTTCTACAAGATGCAGATCCGAACTAGCTTTTGATCCAAATTATTCAAAATATGACTAGCATACTTTGAGAAGGCTCCAGGCTTATCCTCTTTTCACTTATTTTAAGTCTCTGCTCAGAAAGGAATTGTTGAAGTCTAAAAGGTTGTGTTCTTTAACTCATGATAAGTGATAATCCCAGTGGGTAGTATTGACAGTCTTCAAACACTCTCGTATAACTTCCCCAGTCTTCCTTAATAACATTTGGAAGAATCCGCAGTCACATGGAATCCAATTTTTAACTCCTCAAATCCAGTAGTTATAAATGTCTGGTCAGTGTTTAATCTTACCATCCCTGCTGAGAGACTTGAAAATGTACTCACTTAAACAATGTGTGGAAAGATTTGCAATTAAAATGTAATATAACTCAGCTACCATGTGTAGCTTCGTTAACTAGGTACTGAGAAACAGCTGTTATGCGAGGGCTAGAGAAACTCTGGCTGCTCAGACCTGTGTGGATGAACAGACAGATAGACAATATCAGTATACGATCTGGCATCACTGCCGAACGGTCCAAGTTGCCACGCTTCATATCAAGCGAAAGTACGTCAAGCTGAAGTATGTTTGCAGTCGAGAGTTGTGGAAAGTCGTGATAAGATAACAAGTGTAAATAAAATAATACTGAAATTCAGTATGGCGATTGAGACGAAGATATGTGGATATATATGCACTACTGAGATCGATTCTGAGCCATATCACTTAGACTCTTCGACCATTTGTTTCTATTGTCAAGTGGACCCTGACCAGGAAGTCTGCATTTGCATAGACGACTCAGACTAACACTCAAGTACTTGATGTACTGATGCCATATTTTAGTCTGGCCACCTCCAACCTTTCCCAAGCTCGATCCTGCATGGTTAATGGTGACGAGGCACCTGTAACATTTGTCCCAGGGATCTAAATCTACAAAGGTTAAAAAACTAACCAACTGACTTCGGGCCAAAACTCTCCACCTGACTTTTATAGTAATGACGTAGTGGCACAACGACACCGCCTTTCTTATAAAAGCGACTTTAGCCGAGCACTTAAAGCCTTTTCATGTCTTTTACCTCAAATGACCATATTTCGCAGCCGTGTGGTAGAGCAGAGCGAACTGCAGAGTAGCACACTAGACCCTTAATTACCGATCGGATATCACAGTAGCACCATAAATAGCATAGGTCACCAAAAGCCTTTTGTATCCTTGCAGGTACTTTTTTGATCGCTAACGTGTCAAGACTGATCAGATTTCGCACTTGAGTTAAGTGGTCAACTCACCGAGCCATCTAACCCTTTATCGTTGACGGGACCGAAGCAAACCAGTTTTGGAGTAACACTTTGCATTTGCGTGGTAAGAAACCCATCCAAGACATTGTCAAGTCACTAGTCAAGGTGTTAAAAAGGCTGCTTCTTGGTAACATTACCTAAGAGGACTGTGTCATCTGCGTACTTAAGGTTTATGGATTCTCCGGTGACAGCATCAATCCCTGTGAAACCAGATGAGTATATAAGTATATCTATAAAAAGGGAAGAGTGGCGAACTTGACGGGCACCACTTGATGTAAAAGTATTCACCATACACTCGCACGTGTGCTTGAGTAAAGAGCCTTAAGCAGAGTCGTGTACTTGGCGGCTCTTTCAGTGAGAGACACTGCCATAAGACATTTCGGAAGACGGAGTCATGCCATCTTCAAGTCAAGAAATAAGGCTACTGTCGGGCGTTCGTGTGAAAATGTGGTCGATATACCCACGATCATGTCTGAAGCTTGTTCGGTTTTTTGGGTTTACTGGTCCCGAGCTTCACTCAGAAGTCTAATGATTATGGAACTGAGAATCTTAGACTAACTTCGCCAAGCTGGTTCTCCTGTAGTTATCACATGAGAAATTCTCACCTATCCTGAAAACTGGCAAGACCAGTGATTGAGACCAGTCAGAGAGAATCATATCTGACTCTCACACACTGGTTAACATTCCACTTGACTGACTAATACTCCTCTACCACCGTCCTTAAATACCTCTAGAACTAGTCTATCTGGTCCTACTGCTTTTCCTTGTCTCAGGTTACCTACAACTTTCTCAACTTCGCAAGTGTTGGTGGTCCTATCTCCATGTTCCACTCAGGTTCCGGCTGGATAGCCAACAACGGAATATTACCTGGCAGCCAGTTGAACTGTTCCCCTTTCCAGTCGCCTTCTCTGGTAGTGAATTGCAAACCCATCTTTGTCCACTCTAGATTCACTAACCACTGTCATGTTTGTCCTAGTTTCCTTGCTAAGTCTAAGTAACCGTTTACTGTTATTTATCGCTGCTACCTATTCCGCTCCTTTAGCCTTCGCTTCCCATCAATGTTCGCTATCATTGTGTGAACTTATTCTCAATCCACATTTGAGTTGCTCCCTCTCTTCATTGTCCTCAGAGCCTGCAGAAGTTCATCCACGCTCATCTATTAATTGCGAAGCTACTGAGATACATTGACCTTCCTTAACCACACTCTGAGAATCGGTTACGGTCTTCAACGGTACTTTTTCAGCATACTGGAGATGGTGCCAGATTTCAGGATGAGCGATATTCTGTACTGATACTGGGAGCTGTCTAGCCAGTTTCTCACTGGAAACAGCCTTAATGGTCTCACTGTTGAACTGCAAGCTCAATGGTCTTGTTGCCACAGCTTTTCTACCTCCTGCTGTGGCTCAGCGCTTTAGTGAGGTGATCTATCAACCTCTGAGTCATGGTTCGAGCCCCGCTCCACCTACCGAGGTTTTGGCAACCAGGTAGTTTCACTAGCCTTCACACAATAAGTGGCTTGTTTCCCACTGCACGGATGTGCACAAAATGACTTAGTGCGTTTGGTTCTACGTTGGTCCAGTCGCAAACATGCACGTGCCCGAGCCAACGCTTGTTTGCCGCTCAAACACGTACTCCGAAAAAAAATATAAGAAGGAAGAAATGTTGAAGGTCGGTAATGATGTGATAGATAGTGGCAGTTGACACTTCCTATACACCCACATTGCGAGGTTACTTCCTGAGTTGCTTATGAAAGAAGAGTCGGTAAAAGTCATCCATGACTGTAGAGCCCAACGGCTGTCTGGTTGGGTCCATTCACACCTGGCCTTCTTGGGAGTTCAAGATTTAAGCTATTTTTTGAATTCAACTATAAGCCGCTACCACCGGCACCGGTAGACCACAAGGTGGGTGGGTGTTATTTTGGAGGATGACCTTTTCTGCCCTCCTTCACAAAGGCAGGGCAGGCAAAGCTTCACTGCTCTTACATCTCATTCAGCTAACAGTACGACTTCGCCGTCGAACCTTCATCATAACGTAGAAAGTTTCACTTTGATGGTAACTGCTTTTCGCTTTGCCACTGTCCAACTGATCTTTATTGTATGGCAGGACCACTAGGGAACAAGCGTTCCAATCAGTGTAGGTCGTTGGGTCATTTTGATATACCAGCCCTACCAGCATGTCAAGATCGAAATCGAAAGGTCGAAATGCACTCAGCAACTTTGTGCACATTCGTGCAGGTAGGCAATAAGCCATACCTAGTGCATGAGGGCTAGTGATACTACCTGGCTGCCCTAACCTGGGAGCGGGTGTCAAACGCGTGACCCAAGATGGCAGTTGTTGACTGGGATAAATTGAGTGTGGATCGGACATGTTGCCTAACATTTGAAAACCGAGTGCTTAGACCAGTTTACTATACCTCATCTTTGGAGCTTTTAAGGTTGGTTGATTTCCCATCCACATCCTCCAAAACCAACTCGACTCAATACTCCAGATCTCGAAATTAACACTGGTGCTTTTACATTTAATCGGACAGTCTATTCACTAAAAATCTAGGGCAATCACCTTCAGTATGCAACGATAAATCAGTTATTCTCCATCATTAGAATTGATGCATTCCACATATTTTAGGACTGATTAGTGTGAGACTCAAGCCAACCAATCAGAGTATCCCCATTCTCCAAGTCAGTCAGAGGATTTTTAGGCAGGTAGCTAATCCTTAAGAAGTCTTGTGTCTTTAACAAAACTAGGCAAAAATAAATGACAGTAGACAGTACAAGAAAAACTGGCTGTCATCACGTTAGATGACAACTTTGTACAACTCTGCCTTAGTAGGCAATCTTTATTAGCAAATATCTGATACCTACCTCACTACCATATGCTACTATAAGATCTCTCAATCAATGCAGATTAATGTTACCATCTTGTCAAAAAATAGTGGCAAAATTGAAAGATGAGACTTGTTAATATACGTTTATGCAGATGTTTAACCTGCTTTGACTTTCTGGATTTACTCTTCTCAAACATCTTGCAGATGTGGTATGATAATGAACTGTAGGAATTCAGTAATCAAGCTAAATTTGCCACTACAAAGAGTTCCTGTCCTATCTTATAAACTGAAATGATCAACTAATAATGTCGAAATGCGAATACCTCTGTTTTTTCTGCACTTTTAAAGTTCCATTCTAAGTAGTACTTCCTGACCATCATTAGTAAAGCCTTCCAGCAACAAATCACGTTGTACGCCCTATCATTTTAGGTTTGTAACGTCTTTCTTGGCTTCGATGATTTCTGGTGGATCAATCTCACTAAGTCATTCATATTGCCGCTATTTGACAGCTGAAACTTATTCTTCAGCATACCCACTGAACATCCCAGCTTACCGTTCTTAGAGCTTATCATCAAATAATCTCTATCAATGTTGGTCACCTCGGCGACCATCTTTTTGATCCTAACACTCTCCTGTGAACGTAAAGAGCAAAACAGTGAGTCTTTATTAGTTTACTAGCCTGAATGAGACTGAAAGGGTGAAGTAGTTTTGCAATTGAGACAGAAAAGTCAACGTAGAACCTTAAAAAAATACGTAACCAGTTCTTTCACACTTCAAAACAGCACGGGAAGAGAAAGTAAACATACAGGGAATAAATTTAAAGTTGATAAAAGTATGTAAGAGGAGACGGAACAAATAAAGAACGATGAAAATATTCAAAATTTCGAAAATGATAATCGCAAACATATTTGGGCAGTACCGCCAAAAATTTCAAACATTAATTCTTACTACCTGAAAAGCAGCGAGGCACCCTTCATGGTTCAGATGAGCAGTCAGATACTTTACGATTTCATGTCACCATAAACTTTGTTAAAACCTAATCCCACTTCCTCTACAATCACTCATGAAGTTAGATGATGCCTCCACTTATGTAACGCATGTTCAAGCCACTGCAGTTAATTAGAGTTCACAACCTCACCGACTGGCTTGCTTTCCTTCGTCTAACTTCAGCGCTACTTACTAACGATCATTAGTTTTCGACAGTGATGCGACACCAAACTATGTAAGAATCTATCGTTCTGTAATGAATTCGATTAGTGTCTCCCTAAATGCGGGTTTAATTTTCTCATTCTTTAACCAGGTATGCCATTATCTCTAGATGAACAGAAACCACCTGACTAGTACTTGACCAATCTTCTATTCTGTAGATTCACTAATACATGGTATTCCTTTCTTTCTGCAGATACATCACATGGATTTTTGTTGTCATAAGTCATTGATCTGCATTTGGGAACAGCTTCACAAATATCTAACGTATGATGACAGTTTCTTAAGGATGCTCTAGTAGTAACATGTGTCATTCGATAGTAGTGTTACCGTATCAGAAGAGTTTGAACTAGTGCAGTATATCGTGCAGTTATTTGTTGCTACATGCCTTACATTAGGTAAACCTTTTGAAGTAGTTTCGTCTATCAACAACTGATGCGTTAATACGTTTTGATTTCGTCATGCTCATAGCTAGCATTTTCAGTCTACCTGCACCTCTATACATTTTCTGTTCTCATTAGATATGCAAATTAGTAACATTTCGATCGTCAATCTGTCTTAGTAAGCACTTCATATTTTAGGTGGTGGTAATAAGTTACCATCTAAAATAGCTTATGTTTTCGATCAATTTACGAAGGAAAGCAGACCCCATAGGTGTGTCCTAAATACTACTGTAGTGGGCTCTGCTGATCACAGTGGATACAAGTAGTATACGTTGAGAGGGCGGCAAAAATCATAGGGAATTGCCAGCAGTGGGTAAATATTCTGCCCAGAGAATTGCAAGAGACAATGTGGATGTATTTAGGGTAAATCGAGATAGAAACAAAAGAGGAAGTGAAGTACATTGTGCAAATGACTGTTTTAGTGGGAAGTGTACAATATTTGATGACTACTATTCAAGATATCAATGATAAATATTCCTTCCTGCGTCTTAGTCTTGTTTCCTACGGTGCTACTTTTCCTTTCATCATGTTGAGATTTCACAGTATTTGTTGTGCAGATGTTCCTAATGTTCCCCTCGTTTATCCCTTTTATCATTCATAGTAAAATATAACAATTAGTTATTTCATGGAGACCACAATGAACTGGCGCGACATTTTCAGAGCATTTTGAAGTCAGTGGTAACCAACCGTAAATTGTGTTTCTGTTCCATGTTAATAGTTGCTGTTGTTTACCTACTCTATCACTTGTTAATGAACTAAGAGAACGTTTGTACTGAGGATGTGTACCAGACTCCACAAAATCGGTCAAGATACGATAGCTGATTCAGTGCAAAGTGAACCCTTTTTACGTAGAATCGGTTACCTTACTGCCCTTGCACTTCTTGTGGTTTACATCGGCCTAAAAAACCGAACCCCGTAGTCTGGAAAGCACCTAGCGCGGACCGAGTGGTTTCACGAGACTTGTGCTTTAACTTCTCAGTGATGATGTGCTTTTGTTCTTATTTTTCACCAGGACTCTTGTCATAAATTATTTGATTTTATTTCCTGACAGCATGATAATCAATATGGAGATTTATTTGAATTCATATTCTTTCCATTCTAAAGAAGTATGGAAGCACCTCTTGTTATGCGTGTACTTGCTGCCTCTGTAACCTTAGCGGAGAAGGCCAGCTCTTTAATTCGTACAGTGTATGCCTCCAAGGACCTTGCAATTGTTGACAAAGGAGTTGATGATTTACAATCTAGAGCTGATAGAGATTCTCAAAGATGCGTTGTACAGTCATTACGTAAAGTTTTCCCTGGTCTTCATATTATCGGTACTGTTGGTTATCTTTGATTAAATAACTTGGAAAATATTTAGGCGAAGAAGGAGACTTGGATCCTGGAAACGTCCCTGAATCCAGTGAATTAAGTCCAGAAGTTCTTAAGCATCAGTGTCCTCCGCAATTGAATTCTCTGTCAATGGATGATATCGTGGTTTGGGTAGATCCACTGGATGGCACCAAAGAATTCACTGAAGTATGTTTATTGACTGATTATTATCATCTATACTGAAGTTACTATGATAACACTAAAATCTATCGTATTTTGGAATTCAGGGTCTCTTGGAGTATGTCACAGTTCTTATAGGAGTCTCAGCTGGAGGGAAACCTGTAGGAGGTGTAGTCGCTCAGCCTTTCTACCATACCAACACAGTCGCGAATGGAAGCGCACCACAGTACGTAACTCGAGTCGTATGGGGACTTGTAGGTCTTGGGATATTTGGGATCAATCCTAAATTGCCTTCCTCGCAACTGCCATATCCAATCAACCAAAGCGCTCCAAAACTATCTTTACCACATGCTATTGTGGTTACTCGGTCTCATCGATCTCCTGCACATGACATCGTAAACAATGCATTCTATCCCACTGAAGTGAGTATAATTATATTTTTCATTGCTATTCCAAATTGATGATATGAACACAGGCATCATATCCGCTTCTGTATACATAATCACTTAACGTTTTTCTTTGTTTCCAGTTTGACCCAACTATATGTATCTATCAGCTATGATCACCAACTAAATAATGACCCGAAAGAAAACCAGTTGATATTCACTATCTTTTGCCGTCTATAGGGTTACAGCTTCATTCTTGTTCACTGGGACTGTCCAATGAATAGTGCAAGGTTTCGGTAGTAAGATTCTATGCAAGAAAAATCAGCTTTTATGTCTGTGAACCCAATAGCAGATTGAATTACTGAAATACACTTCTCATACCTTTTCATCACTTATCACCTAAACAAACAAGGTATTTTTTCAAGTAGCACTAGGGTTTTTTAAGCCGGAACACGACAAACAGGCAGCCTATATAATGTCACTGAATATTGGTCCTAGTCATGGTCTTCTATTTAAACTCATCGAAATGGATAAAACCAGTGGTTAAAAACTTTAGATGACATGCTTCTAAATCATGTTGTTGCCACCATCCTCTCATCAGACATCGAAACACAACAATAAGCGAGATGTGAATGCTAGATATGATCCATTCGTGGCTAACGTTTCAATTTCTTGTAGGTGATTAGTTTCCCCTGATTCTATTCCCTATGGATATTTAAAATCTATAGGTTTCTGACTTAACAGGACTATATGTCGTACCAGCAGGTTGTAGAATCCACAAGAATTTTTAGTCTGTTCATTCAAGAATAGAACTTGGGCATTTCGATAGTGTATAATTCCATACTACTTTGTTTGCTGGATATTTCAGAGTGAAACAATATTATTTACTAGATGACTTTTGGAACAGAATTTATTACATATATTCATATCAAAGGTAACTCCATATCTTTCATATCTTGTTCTTATAGTTCTGCTTCTCATTCATTTGTCATGTGTGACGTGAAATGTTCCAAACATGGAATAGGTATTTAGTCATTCCTTTTGCATGTATTCGGTGTTGATTCCATAAAGTGAAGCTTGTGTTTCCACTATCAATCTCCCTCTATTCCACTACGCTAGTCTTCAGGACTGTTATTCCATCTCCTCATCTCATCATGTGGTTGTGTGTGATTATATGCATCGTAGTAGCTGCGTTTTTTCTCTAGATTCCCTACTTAACTAGGGTCTACCACTCTGGATTCGGTCAGATTTTTGTGTTCTGTTTTTCTAACTGACCTCATTCGACTAATTTGACCCATGTGCTCGACTTCCTGATCATTGCACGGAATTCGACAAACTAGATTATCTTATCTAGTGATCTCTGTATGACTTTGATTTCCAAAGCTTGTTTCTCAGAGAGTTAAGATTTAAATGTCACCTTGATCTCAGCTTTCGTAAGAATCGTGCTTAAACTTTACTACTTACATGATAATGATTTTATTTCTTCAACCTTAGATCTTACTACCTACCCGTTGTACCGTGTAGGTTACTATTTATAGGCTGATAGAGCCTGCGTTTATAATATATTTATTTTATTATTTGTCCCCTGGGGTCCTAGTGGAACATAAAGCTTCAGTAGCACGTCTCCATTTCACTCTGTTCTCTGCAATCTTTTGAACCTGGTTCCACGACTGCTCAGAAGCTTACGTTTCTTCCTCACACAATCTCCTCCATGTCACCCTCGTCTCGCACACCAAACTCCTCCTTTCCCATTTCGGTTCCACTCGACGTCTGGCCTGGTGCGTGATGTCCCCAAACGGTCTTCTCAGTGTAGGTCCAATCCATTTCCACTTCTGGATATTTGTTGGGTAACAGGTTCTTGCTTCGTTGGTCCGTTGCCAACCAGCCAGAGTTCCTTGTTGCTTATTCCTTCTGGCCATCCGATCTGATCTGATCTTCATCATAGAGTGAGCGTAAGCGGCAGCTGTTGATGGTATGTCTGTAGTTTGTTGGAAATGCTTTTCGTAATGCGCCAAGTCTCTGAATCACCATACAAAAGCACTAACTTGATATTAGTGTTGAAAACTCGGATCTTGTTCCACATACTGAATGCAGTGATGGTTAATGAAGACCTATTTTGCTTTCCCGATCCTGGTTTCGACATCCTCGTCTGTGCCTGTGCCGCCTGTAGTTGGAACGATGCTGCCTGCCTAGGTAGGTGAAAGAGACTACTTCCTCTAGGTTTCTCACGTTGATGGTGATTGGTGCTTGTTATTGGTGTTGTTGTTGGTTGGGTGTCTTCATCACCTCTGTCTTCTCCACATTCACCTGAAGTCCCGTCTTCGCTACCCTGCCTCTTCTGCCAACTTGCTAGTTTTCGCCTGTAGATCTTCGAGTTTGTGCGACAAGACACCAGACATAGATCATCATCGTCAGCGGCGGCTAAATCCAAATCTTCTTCTGGAGTCTTTTCATCGGTCCAGCCAGCGTATTCCCATCTTCTCACAGCTCCTCGCACTTTCTTGCATGATCCATTCCATTCCAGTCCAGTCCAGTCGACCACAATCAGGAAGATCATCGGTGATAGTAGGCGGACACATTGTCTTACTCCTGTCTTCACTTCAAAGGCGTCACTAACCTTTCCATTGTGAATCACTTGGTGTGTGGCGTCTTCAATAGCTGTTGAATGAGGTTGATAAAGGTTTGTGGCACTAAAACCGTAGTGTTGAAGCAGCTACCTGCCAAATTACTTTTCGGTTGACGCTATCGAAGGCCTTTTCAAAGTGGATGAAGTTGAGGTATAGATCGCATTGACTGGCATTCTATGCTCTGTTCTATGATGATGATGATGCGTAGTGTAGCACTGCAATTCGATCCGCACATGATTTGTTCTTCCTGAAGCCAACCAGCCTGTCCCTGTCATAGTTTTGAATGCGGAGCATTTTTTAGTCCCTCCAGGATGATGCGGCTGAATATTTTGCTTGGGGTGGACATCGGCATGATTCTGCGCCAGTTCTTGCAAAGATTTAGGTTTCTCTTCTTTGCGAGTTTGACAAGGTAGCCCTTCTTCCAATCAACCGGCAGGTACCTTTCCTTCCCTCCTTGCAAACCTTCTGCAACAGTGGTGTGAGCATGTCCGTTGCCGATATCTGAGTCTATTTTCATTGCTTCTGATGGAATTCCATCTGGTTCTGCTGCTTTCCCGGATTTCAGCAACTTTATGGTCTGGTGTTCAGGACTTCGCTGCTGCTTTTGTCGGAAGGCTTCCTTTCACTGATAGTTCTGTGGCTGGGTTGCTGGTGGTATTTTTGAACGAGTTGCAGGTGGTGGTGGTTGTCGACTCAAGAGTGCTGTGAAACGGTCAGCCCATCGTTTTGTTTCCTTTGTTTCTCCTCTTTGGTGGCAACTAGGTTTCCTTCACTATTTCTCATTGGTTTCATCTGTGTTGATCTCTTCCCTCTCAGATAGTAACCTGGTTATTGGATATGGTGTTGTCAGGTCTCTCCTATCTGCAGCCTGTCCTCCTTCACTTGCAAGTGTGTCGTAGAAGTATCTTTTGTCATGGTGCTCACTCCTCTTCACTTCCTTGTTCAGTGTAGTGTTTTATAGGTTGTGTTCAGTTCCTCTTTTCGATGTTCATCCCTGCCCTGCCCTGCCCTGCACTGCACTGCATTGGTTCATCTTCTCCTTCACCATCACTATCTTCCTCTCCCTACTCTATCAGCTTCCATGTGTCCGTCGAGATCCATTCCTTGTCCTGTATAGTTTCTTATTCCTTCCTAGTACGGTTGTGTAGGTTTCTTTCCACATCTCTTTCACAGAGTTCCAGTGTTCTTCCACACAGGTTTCTTCAGGTATGTTGCTCAATGTCTCCCATTTTGTCCTGATGACTAACTGACGTGAATATGTCCTTTGTAGTTTCATCCTTCAGTTCACTTTCTGTTCTGGGTGTTGAACTTGAACTGTGGCCTACCACCAACTACTTTGAAGGCTTTCGACTTCATTTGGAATGTAGGTTCCTTGCACTAGATAGATAGTCAGTGGAGTGAACCACCCACATCTCCCCTTCCTAATGTGATCTTGTCTGCAGTAGGCTGGCTGCATCTCCACTTCCTTGAGATTGAGATGAAGTCGATTGATTTTTAGTGTAGTGTGCCATGGTTCCTGGTGAAATCCATTTTGCTGGCTTTGTGAATATCCTTGTTTTAGTACATATTGTTTTCAATCATCAAATCGTTGAATGTGCGGAAGTTTGCAAACAATTTTTTTTATCATTTTTCATTGAGCGTGTGCTTCTCTTCCTTTTTTGTCTGCTCCCAGCTTCTCATTAAAACATGTCACCCCACCCATTCCATTGGAATGGATTTTGATGTCGCCAACTGGAGTGTAGTCTTGTCCAGTACTCATTGCAGTTGTCCACAGAATTCCTCCTTCTTCTCTTCATCTGCTGCATTATTTGTAGATGCTTATTGTAGCCTAGCATTGTATGGTTGTAACTTTCGTTCCTTTTGAGTTGAATCCATCTTGCTGCCATCATCCTGATGCTGGAGGAGATTGGTTCCCACTGCATGAGAGAGAGAGAGAGAGAGAGAGTCTTCGATGCTGTTGATAGGGGGATATGATGATAGCCACTCGCGAACTCAGTGTGCTCGTGCGTGGTTGTCGTCTGGGTGACAATATCGGAATAGATTATTGACTGTCCAGTTGACAGTTTGGAGAGTCCACTTGCATTCGATCTCCTTCCGCAGACTTCTAGCACTCCTATGCCATACCTTCTTATCTCTTTTGTAATCATCTGGGCAGCCTTGCTAGGTTCAAACATTGTGCGGACATTCCATGTTGCCATCCTTACTTTTGCTTTGATCGAGAGAAGAGAAGACACATCGGGGAATTGGCTTTGTGAAGGCTTTCACCAACCGGCGTCATTTCGTCTCTCTGATTCCAGCGAGGAGTAAGTTTGTTTATATTTTTAATGTTTTTCTTTGTGCTTAGCGATTGGATTGTTTTTCTGGGGTAGTGTTGCTAGCCCTATGCCTAACTTTCCCTCTCTATCCGATCTTAGGATCGGCTAGTAAACTAGTTAGTTAGTAAGCTGGGCGAGGTTGTTTATAGCATATATTGATCACAGTTGTGTGAGAAACTGGTTGACTGTCTTTCTCATTTAGTTCCTTACTCCTATGAGTTTTGTTATCTTTAATATTCTTGTTTCATTTTTGTCCTACTGTTATGAATTCTGATAACTTGGGTTGACCTGTATGTAGTAAGTAGGAATGACTTCTGCATCATCTAAAGGACTAAGATTGAAACAAGAATGTCAAGACCTTGACACTTTGTTTTCAAAATGATCAGCTTCCGATACCCATATTACTAATGTTAGACATATGATTCCTTGAGCGTACTACACTAACTCGTCAAATACTGACTAGTTTTATCTTCTCTTTTATGCTTGGAAAGCTGGCATATGCGCTCGAAACATCTTGTCTTCAGTACAACAACCTCACAAACATCTCTGTACGAACCGTACGTCGTGTGTTAGGTCCTTACCACTACTCTCCGATTGAGGAACTATGCTAGACGGACAGATAAAATCAATGTAGAACTTCACACAGAAGTGCATTGGCTGAAGTTGTCGCACTTCAGAACAGTATAAAAAGAATAGGTGGATAAGAAAAACTGTTATTAAAGTAAACAAAGTTATGTGAGAGAACAAATCATTTGAAGATAAAAGGTAGTGCAAATATCCATTCGTTAGAAAATGTCAGGGACCGAATACACCTGCACCATTGTGAACGATTTTCAGCCATGTCACAAAGAGTCCTGAACCACTGATTCCTTTCGTCTCTGGAACTCTAGCCTGGCAATCTACAGTTCGCTAAACGGCTCAGACCAAGAGTCAGGGACTTCATGGACTCATGCCACGTGTTGGTCTGGCCATCCTGAACCCTCTTCCAATCTAATCCACATTCTTGCATTTGACGTTGAGGTAGGGGGTGGCTCTGCATGCGCAACACATCCAAGCCAGCTCAGTTGACTAAAGTCCACAACCTCATCAGTCGACTCGCCTGTCTCGCCCAGTACCTTTCGCGTGACCTCAACATTGCTCATATGATGATTTCACCAAACGCAAGCTAGCTGCGAATATCTCTGTTAACCAAACCCTGTAGTCACTTCATATCTTCTACTTTTAACGACTATCTCAGTCTTACACCAGCAAATAACGTACTGCAGTGCAGTATACTCATCCTTTGATAGGTAGTTGGATATCTCACCAGTCGCAGCCAGAAGTGACGCAGGTTGGCAAGTGTCAAATAGGCCTTCTGTATCAGAGCTGAGACTTCTTTAGCACGCAACCCGTTTTAGCTGATGTAACTCAAGTAAGTGAAGCGGTTGACACATCCCACCATTTCACTCCCTACCATTAAACTGCGAGCAGTTCCAAACCAGTCCTTGAGCATCTGCTTACATTTCATAAGCCCTTACACAGCTACATGAGTTCAAGTAGAGGTCTTTGGTTAGCGTTACATACTTTCTCGATATTCCCTTCGCAGTCAGACACTGCCACAACACCTCATGGCCGACTGATTCGAATGCCGTCTTCAGATCAAGTAATCTGATGAGTTTCGGCCACCAGAAAGTATGCCTGTGTTCCAGAACCCGTCGAAGGGTGGAGATCTAGTCAACACGTCGTCTTCCAGGTCCGAAACATGCCTGGTTTCCTCGAGTCTTCCGTCCTTGAGCTCCATTTAGGGGTCCGATAACTAGGAATCCTTACCGGTCTAAGTTCATTAGTTTTCAAATCTGACTTTGAACCCATGTCGCCAGCATCGGTAACCGCGGAGCAGAGAGAAGTGTGTCATTTTAGAGCCGATCTTCTCTAGCTTCCGCTTCCATAGGGAAGGTAGCATCAGCGTGGCACTTCTCGCCATCCAAGGGAAACACCTTAGTGCCGTCACATCCCATGCAGCAGCAGTACGACTTTGCCGTCAGACCGCCATCATAGTGTAGCAATTTACACCAACGATAACTGTTTTTATCCTACTACTATGCAATAGATACTTCTGGCATGGTAAGACCTTGAGGTAAAAATCGTCCCGGTCAGTGTAGCGTGTTGGGCCATTGTGATACGCAAGCCTAACTTCCTTGTCAAGGTACTGTTCGATCGAGAGGAACGGCCATAGTAAAAGCCACTTAGTGGGTTGCACTGAAACTGGCGAAACGGTAAAAATTATGTGCGGTGAGATAGGGGTCGTTGATTCCTCAGTGTGGAGATATGGTTCGTTGGATTAAGAACTGGACTTTCAAGTGATGACCTCCAGGTTCGATCCCTGCCATACTTTACTTCGGCCTGAGCAACCGGGTATTATCGTAAGCCTTCAAACCACAACTGTAGCTAATAGCCTAGTATAAAAACCGAGTTGATTTAATTTTTTATTCCTCAAAGTTGTGTACTATATGTTATATTATATAATAGTACCCTGCAATGATTGCAAAGTCAATAATATAGGTCAAGATAGTAGGCCAGGATCAATTAGACTGTCCGAGCACAAAAACTTATTTTAGTCAGAATTAGTAGATCCTTATAACGTAAGCAATCTGGAGAACGAAGTTCGCCTATAGCTAGGCATGCGATTGTACACAATCAAGCACTTGGATGGGACAATAAATTATATCCGTAACGTTATTCAGTAGATAATACTGTTTCACTGTGACACATCTAATGAACAGACTAAAATGGTAGCCGGGACATCCGCAGGTTGACAGGCAAACTGGTTTTATTCATATGAAGGTGAAAGTTGGGGCTGAAAAAATGTGAGTCTCAGCAAAGTCAAATCTGGATTCCCCTGAAATTCTACCCAGGTGCTCAAATATAAGAGTGGACCAATAACTAGATAGCAGATACTTCATATGAATGAGTTACAGTGCTATTCGTAACCCGTCATATTAACGGCTTAATTGGATCCTCCTATCTCTGTCCTAAAGGAGATGAATTCGGCAAATGTATCGACTGATTCAGACTTACGGTAAGATAGCTTTAGTGGACGAACTAATTAACTTGTAAAAGGATAGTATTTAGAATAGAGAATAGAAAAAACACATTGTATATTAGTTGACACCAACTAGTATGATGAAGTGCTAATGGTAGCGTTTTCGAGCATTTAGTAACGCAAAGCAAAAGTGTCAACCGTGTGGAATTTACAGTTCTTTCTTTCTAAAAAGTACTTCTACCAAATATAACTGACATATTCTTCGTTTTAGACTTTAATGTGGAAACCACATTGTGTTTTCTTATTCTTGTGAGATGTTTGTGTAGTCTTTTGGTAAATAATTGCCAACATCACAGCTGATCGAAATCTAACAATGAAAAAAGCTTAAAAAGCCAATTCAGATGTGAAAAGCCCATTGGTAACTATTCTAAGCGCTGTACTAAGTAAACGCAGTTCTGAAAAGGTATTGTTTTTTCCCGATTACAGATAATCACTACCGAAAAGCGTTTAAACATTGGGAATCTAGATGACACGTTTTTACTGACCCCTGACCGATTGCAAGTATTAAAAGCCACGTTTTAACTGCTAAGTAACATTGTTACATTCGGTTTCGGTTCAAGACAGGATACTTGTTGCTGTTTGCGGATGTGATGGTATAATTTCTGTATACTTTCGTTTTAGACAGCTTATTTAAAATGTTTTTTTACTTTAGCATTCTATAGGTCATTTATTTGTGAGGACATATTTACTCATATTGTTTGTACTAAATTTTGCACAGACTGTTCGTGCTGGAGGATGCGGTTACAAAGTTCTTATGCTGCTAGAAGGACGTGGTCATGTTTATGTCTTCCCTAGTCAAGGGACCAAAAAGTGGGATACATGTGCACCGGAAGCTGTCCTCCTGGCATCTGGAGGCAAGTTAACAGATATACTTGGACAGTCTTATTACTATGGTCTCAATGCAAAACACGAAAATGTTAGAGGTATACTGGCTACCCCTGTTGCTGATTGGCTTCCAGCTTATGTTGCATGCTTACCAAAAGAAATAGTTGATGATTTCTCTGCTCGTGATTAACTGTTGTTACAGATTATCCTGTCTCAGTCAACTACTACACATATCTATGTACGTCGTTTCCTATTTTGTATTCTGTAGTCAGACGTTATTCCTCACTTAAAAAATAACATTCACATATAGTAGGTTTTTCACTAACCACATCAGGTGCAAATATGCACAGCTGATTGAGATTCGCTATTTTCCAATCACTGATTATTCTTAAATCAAAGATGACTTCAAAAATATAACTTTTCCTGCTGTGTTTCATAGTGTGTTCAGCTTTCATCTCAAGTTACAACTAAAGCCCTATGATCTTCACAATACCAATAAGTTGATCACATCAAAAGTGCAAAGTCCCATTACTACTACTACTGGCGTGCAGAGCATTATTGATTTATTTATGGGACATTTAAGTTAAGTTATCTCCGTTAAGTTATTCGTCTCATGTTAGATCGATAAGAAATGTATGCACTAATCTATCGTTCACACCTATGCATGTGAATGGGATTATTTAGCTGTATGAGCTTTACGAATATTGGCTCCTTCTGGGGTGTGTGTTTGTACAGCGATCACGCGTTGATTTGAGCACATGTATGTTTGCACCTAAATGGATGTAAGGAAACTACTTCAGGACCATTCGGATTGTGCTTCGGTAGTAAGGATTTTTAGGCTACTTTCAAGGAGTAAACGACTGGGCATTCATGGGAAAGGACAACATCACTCACCCTGACGAAGGCTGGGACTACTATCTGTCTGCCATGAAAACAATGTCGTAAGGTGAGCAACCTAAAATGTAAAGGTTTAACTGACCCTGATGCGCTTGCGGCAGAGACATTTACTAACGGTACCTGAGGATTATTGCTTAGATTAACGAAAGTGTTAGCTACCGTTTGGAAATCAGACTGAAATCTTTTGACTAGTGTCAATCGCTGATTGTCTCAGTCTCCTGCGATGATCACAGGGGGAATCAGTCAGACAAATATAGATCCTTATTATTATGATCATTGGATGGTCAAGGGAAGTTTGCGAACAGTAACCTGAGGAAACCATGGAGGTTTCAGACTCAGTCGACCAGATGTTAACCCTCTCTGGAACGCAGGTACACACGCAACTGTCCAACGCTAGCTGTATTTATCGAAGATGGCATTTGATTCCGTCAACCAAAAGGTCATAAGACATAGGGCAATGTCTCACTGAAAAGTACACCACGTTTATAGAGGCTATGCATATGAACCCATGTTTAATTGTGCCTATGGTATGGTTCCAGGTAGGTGTCCGTTAAGAATGTGTACAGGGATTGACCTTGTCGCATAAGTTTGGGTAAAAGAAGGTAAACGAGTTGATGATGTTGCGAACGTTCGTAGACTCCGATGTCTGGGACATTTGCTACGCACGCTTATTCACCATTTCCTTTCTCTCACAACTTTAGCGAACATAAGTTTACGTTGGAAAACGGTTGGAGGTCGCCAAAACAAAACAATATGAGTCGATGAAGTCTGTGACTGTTGGTCTAGGAGGCAGTAATGGGATCTAGGCTGAGGTCGGTTTGACAACAGAAGTTGAGATGGGAGATTATAGGTGATATGTTTGAGAACCAGTCTCAGCAGTGTAAATGCATCCGCACTTCTTGTTTTTCACACCGAGTTGCATTGTTATTTTATCGCTTTCTTACCCGTTTTTCCGACTTCCCTTTACTTTTTGGATATTTATCTGATATTTATCTTTCATCTTGTTGCCTTCCACTTAGGTACGCTTTTTCGAGATGCGGTGACTAGAGCCGTTATTCAGTACTGCTGGGTTCTAATAGGTTGAGGTCTACTACCTATCGTCCTAAAGATATCCTCGCAATACCCAAGTATACTTCTAAATTTCTGACTGTGTATCACTGATGTCCGTTTGTGGAAAACTTAAAATCATTCACATTTTAGACAACCATTCTGTGGTTGCGTTCCTTCTTATGTCCCAGTGGGAAACAAACGATCAAACTGATGGGATATATTCCATTTCTCAAAGTTCTAATTAACAAATAGTTAAGTATATTGAGTGACTAGCCCCGATAACCTGAAGCTACTCATTGGGTCATCAGTGTTCACTTGGTTATTTGAACACCTGAGAAATTAACTGCGACAATGGGCTGTCACGTTGGTGATTATCTCACAATAACACCAAACAATGCGCCGTTATTGGATATGCACTATGTTCTCAGTAGGAATATGTATATCTGATTGTCGTTATAGGTGATGTGGGTAGAAGTACATGCACGGTATGCCCTTTCTCTCGGACTCTGAAAGTTTCATCAACCTATTAGGAATATTTTTTACTAACGAACTGAGTGCTGGAACGGGACATCTGATTGCCTAGCTTCATGCTAGTCAGACCGGGTTTTTAAGTGTGTACCAAGCAGTTGAATTTGTTGGCTCATGTCATTCAGATGAATACGTTGGTGTTTTCTCATAACAGAATTAGTTATGTATTCCAGTTTTATCAGACGGACATAGCTTGTAATTTAGGTTCTTGGAAATTCATCTAACTCCACAAGGATATCCATGGAATATTGGATGAAAAAGAACTTCTCTTGATATGGAGGCTTTACGTAACATTTTTCCCGAACTCTTACAACATTATGGGAGTCTGAGTATAAAGCTTTTGAAGTTTGTTGCGTTTATTCAGTAGTCACATTTTTCAGTGCAATTAGCCTGTTAAAATGACATCATGAGGTTGATCTTTCACATAAGTCTAAATATCCACATGTAAAAGGAATTAGCAATACATTCTTGGCTTCTTCTTACAGCTTTAGACTATCGAAGGCTAGCCCAGATAATTGCTATTCGTCTATTAATTCTGATGTATGTTTTAAGATTCACTGACTCTATCTCCTCACAGCAGTGGGGATTCGACACTAGGCTACTGAATTAGGACCGTATCCACCAGCCTCCTATACCTGTCAACCCAAGTGTTCCTTAACAATCGTCTTATAGATGAAATGAAGAGTGCTCATCCATACTTTTTGCCCATTGAGGTGCAAATGCAGGCATACTTGAATCAAGGATGAAATATGAACTTCGGAACGTTGAATAAACTACAGATCCTTTTCAGAAATAACCAATGACTGTTCATCTTATCGTTTAACAATCGTATTTCAGTACAGCCTAGTGCAGCAATCTGAACTTAAGTGGAACTAGGAACAGATGTCTATTGAATTGCTTTACGGGAGAAATTACTGATTTTTATGAGTGACAACAAACATAACATTTTACAAAGTTCAGCCCCGACCGATATTTGCTACATTAACTTAGTGGTTCAGCTTGCATATTACAATGAACTATGCTGTTAAAACACTTGCTCCTTCGATGTCTTACCATTACAGAATGGTCAGCTGGACGAAAAGCGGTTACCGTTATAGTGTGAATTTTTAAGCTATGATGGGCATCCGAGGGTGAAGTACTGCTGGGAAGACGGGAGTGTGATGGCAGTAAGAAGTCTCCCCCCAGATGACCAACTTATGCTGCCTCACATCAGCATGGGAATGCAGGTTTGAAATAAGTCAGCGTTACAAATAGCACACTTCTCTCTGTGCTGCATTGTCCTGATGCCTTTGCTATGTGTTTTGTCATCTGGCTTAACCATCATGAAATCTTAACCGAAGCTTCCTAAAAAGCCAATATCCGATAGGCCTCAAGCTGATGTCCCATGGTCTTTGAGATTATGTAAATCTATTGTTTTCTCTCTCAGATTCCTTGAAGGAATAACTTACATCAAAAGTTTTCAATTCTGCTCCATAAAACAAAACGTTCAGATACGGTCATAATGGCGGGTGACATCAGCACTCAAGGAAGGGAGCTGAGTCAATTAGAAAGACGTCTGGGAGGTACCTACGTAATATCTTGTCAAAAAAAGACAATGGTGACCGTCTGCTGCAATTTTCTCCCGTCAATCACGTGTTTCTGGCCAGCTATAGCTTCATGCATAAGGAGAGACTGTCTCGCTCAGTGTCTGCTGATATCAAATCAACGGTAGACACAACATCGCTGTGAGGTGTTTCCGTTGGATAATCAGCAGTACCACGCTGATGTTACCTCCTCTGTGAGGAAGACGGGTTGGAAAAGGTGGGCATTAAAAATAGCACATTCCCCTCTACCAGTGCCGTGGATTTGGGTCCATAGTGGGATATGAAGCTGACGAACATAAACCCCAAACTTCTGAAAAGGCCATGTGTGACCGGCCTCAAGCATATTTCTCTTAGGCTGTGCGGTCGTGCACTTTTTCTAGTACCTCAACAAGAACTAACCTTCCTCGGTGTGGATAGCCGGGAAGTGTCAACAGCCCTTACAACTCTCAGTACTCAGGTTCCCTCATATCACTGTCCACGTTCCACATTCATAGCTATCCAAGTCCATGGGATAGCATCCCTGGTCTCCGAAAACCGCTCTCCATGCTGTACATCAGAGCTTTCAATATACGTACCCTCTATTAAATTGGCCACCACGCCTCCCCGAGTGAAAACTGGAATCTCGGGCCATGGATGTGTTCTATGTTTGTTAGACATACCTACAGGTTCAAGTGTTGCTTTTCACTCAGCTTCTTCCTGTCAGTATTATGTATCTGCAGAATTCACCCTTTGATTTTGTAGAGACTCGATGTCTGGTTCTGCAGATGTAGATGTCGAATTAAGTGTTGAGGCAGAATGTGCACTACTAGATTGGGTTTCAGTTAACAGTCGTTTACGCAGTTCTACTAAATGGCACAGTGCGGACTAAAATGAATGTTGGAACTTACCGTTTTCTCTTTTCAATCCTTGCTTACGCAAACTGATTGCAGTTCGGAAGAAGTGGAGGATGAGTCCTACCAAAAACTGTCTAGCCTTCTATTGCAAGCCAAATTTTCCTATGGGATTTTCGTTTCAGGTGGTTTTAATGAATAATTGGCTGGACCAAGCCATGCAGAAGTGCTCTTTGGTGGCACTAACGGAATCCCAGGAGAACGAACAGATAAAGGCGACTGCCTGCTGCAACTATGCCTTGACAACCGTTTGTTTCTGGCCAGCACGGAATCTAAAAGTAAAGAGAAATATTCCGTTTCATTGTAAATAACACTGTCTTACTGTGTGGTATCTAGCAAAGAGATTAAAATGGGATTACAACTTAACACTGCCCGAGCTTTACGCCTATTTGAAAGAAAAACATGGTTTGACTAGGTATCCACCGACCTCAGCTCAAAAGTAGACATTCTTGAACAGTGGCTACGCATTGGTTCGAGTACGTACGTG